GGTACACTGCCTCTTGGATCTAAGGAGGTGCTAATTTAGCCTCTGCCTGAGGCTACCCAGCAGGAGCAACAAGGAGATCTGCAGATTCCCCTTCCTTGTTTGGAGTTTTGGAGGTGCCCAAATGAGGCCCAGCTGTGAAGCAATGCAAGCTGCTGTGGGGCCTTGGGCCTTCTCTTGGAAGTTCTGGGTCTGTCTGGCCCAGCCGCAGTTTGTTAGATAATTTTCAGATTGCAAAGGGCCAGGGCATTCATATGCAAAAGCCTCTGGTGCAGCTTGGGAGGAGCAGGGTCTCAGGGAATCAACAGGGTGGAGCAAGCAGCTATGGCTGATCCTCAGCCCTGCCCTAAAGGGCCCCGCGTGTCAGTGTCCTGGTAATCGCTGCAAGCACCTTTGAGAGAAAGCCGCCCTCGAGTTCCGAGTTCTGCCCGCTGCCAGACAGTCCAGTTTCTCCCCGTATGAGTCTGGGTCCCCAGAGACTCACCCGGAACTGGAGTTCAGAGCAGTTGGGGGCTTGTGACTCCCTCCCGATTCAAAAAGACAGCTGCGTCCTCAGTTGCCAGCCCTTGCCGCATGCGCCTCCGTACCTCTGCACTTCTGCACTTCCTCTGAGTCTCCATGTGCTTTTCTCTTTCCTTCTAGTTGTAGAATTTCCACTCAGCCAGCCTTCCTGTGGTTCTGGATGATGTCCGTTTTGTCTTTTAGTTGTATTTTTGAATTTGTTGTGGGAGTCAGCAATTTCCGGTGTTTACCTATGTCGCCATCTTGGTTTCTCCTACGTATTACTTTTTAACAAAATACTTGATTTTAATTTTCAGCACTTATTCAGTTAGAATTTCCATTGAAAGTGAAAGAACTCATGTTAATGTAAAAGCTGAATCTCTCTACTTTAATAAACTAATGTAATTCACTTCAAGCAAAAAATACTGTCATCCTCTCAAGTTTTTAAAATAACCTTTCAGGATACCATAATTACTAGTAAAACCAGTAGAGGTCGCTATTACATAATTTTAACATGGATTTTTAATCACTCAGTATTTAGTAGTACTACTAGATAAAATTAAACATCATCCTTATTATAAATCTAAATAAGAAGTTTTTCAGTTGTTATTAACCCCTTCCCCGGCAGAAACGTGTATACACGTTTTCACAAAATGTTCTTTTTTCAGTCGTCGACGAGTATACTCGTCTAAAACTTTACCTTCAAAAACCAGCTACATACGTACCATTCTAAATAATTTCATCTAGAAACTTTCTGAGGAAATACTATTCTTAACCACAAAAATGGGAAGAAAAAATAATTACAAACTGTTTTCATAACCAGCATCAAAAATACTATATAGAACCAAAATAAAAAAAATTAGTCTGAAAAAGAAACGTTTTTAACAAAAAAATTGTTGGGGAAGGGGTTAAAATGGAAAATAAAATAGATTTCCATGTGATGTAGGGTGGGGGGGGGCAGGTTATTCTAGGACATGTTAAGAATAAATTTATAAGTTAAGAATAGTTTAACTCTTTCGAGTTTAATAAACTTTCTTACTATCTATATTCAAGACTAAATCAGCTGCCAAATATAAGAAGTGATCATTTTAATTCTAATGAATAGAATCAGTAATGTGTTGAAAGAAATTATTGTAGTTAAAAATGGAATTTACATACTTTTTCAAATGTCTAATTGAAAACCTTTTGCCAGGATGGTTTATCCTCATATAACACAGGCAAACATAAAGATTCAAAATACTGGGGCAGTTTGGATTGTAAAAAAGGAGGACAGAAGAGAAGGGGAAAAGGTAGAAAGGAACAAAAATTATTTTCCTTTTTCAAGTCAACACTATAGGCTTGCTATTCCAATAGAACAACTTTACTATGATTCCCAATTAAAATTTTCACATCAATGGTTTTAGTCCATGGTTAATTCAATGGGTATAACCATGGTACAAACCTTATAACAGTATGACCCTATGGCTTGTAACTTTTTTTTTAACCTCAACTCATAGGAAGAAATCATAAATTTTTAATACATTTTATATTATATTCTTGCCCATCACACACACACTAAACTGGAACAAAGTTTCATAAAATAAAACTTGTCATTATATGCATTGAACTAGTATCTTCTTAACATTAAAAATATGTTAGCTGGGCAATGCACTAAAGTGATTTTATGACCTAGAGTCTAAAAAGCACTCGAATAGAGTGGTGATAGAAGCAGTAGAGCCCTAACCGGGTTGATTCAGTGGATAGAGCGTCAGCCTGCAGACGCAAGGGTCCCAGGTTCGAATCCGGTCAAGGGCATGTACCTTGGTTGTGGGCACATCCCCAGTAGGGAGTGTGCAGGAGGCAGCTGGTCGATGTTTCTCTCTCATCAATGTTTCTAACTCTCTATCCCTCTCCTTTCCTCTCTGTAAAAAAATCAATAAAATATATATTTTTAAAAAAAGAACACACTTTAAATTTACTTACTGTATTACTGGAATAAATTATACAACTATATACTTGGAACACCAAGGGTCAGAATGTATGGGAAAAGACTGGTAAGATCAAAAAAGGCGCCATGAATGTGGAAAGGCCAAATTGAAAGAATTACTTTATCTCTTGTAGTGACAAGTTTAATTAAAATTTTAGAACAAAATAAAATTTCTTTTCACCGTATTTTAATATTTTTTAAAATAAAGAAGCCCAAGGAGAAATAATCAATGAAAGATTCATGAATTTGAATTATATTACTCTGCCACTTTCAAAATTAATAATTTTATTTGTTTGAAATAAGGAACTCCATCTTGATTAATATCTAGTAGCTTTGAGAAAAAAATAAGACACAGAGGTAGGTTTGAGATACAGTTGTCTCTTATTAGCAGAACCGTGTCTTTTGCTTTACTTAATAAAGGGGTCTAAATAGATAATCTTAAACATCAATTTCAAGACAAATATTCTAGGACATATCAAAATTACACATGCATGTCCATGTAAATATTCAGACCACAGGTATTTTTAAAATCTAACAGTATTAAAGGCTTAGAATGTGTGGGAGACTTTTTGTCTAGAAAGGTAGAAAATATGGAGAACTTACTTAGGAAATCTAAATGTTAATGGAAAACATTAGAAAATTACAAGGATTCTTTAGGATTCAAAGGAAAAGAAAACGTTAAAGAAAAAATGAATGGAAAAGGGAAGCAAACTTTTAAAGTTTTAGGATATGACTCACAGGGGGAAAAACAGTCAAAGATAAGGAATCCAAGAAACACTGAGTTAAATGAAAAAAAAAAAAAGTGTCAGTGCCGTAAGAAATGAAAGTTGGTTAAATACAGTACACATAGGTAAGCAAGGGAAACAGGAAAGACATTACAAATAAAAATCACTCTGGACAACCAGAGAGAAATAATGAACGTGTACCATTATGAAAGAATAAGATCTAAGAAATTATACAAAGAAAATACTTTACCAGGGACTTATCACATAAGAAATACTAGTTTTTGCTTTTATTTTTAATAAGATTAAGTATGAAAAATGAGGAGGGGGAGAACAGACCAGATTTGAGCAACTTTTATACACAATCTTTTAAAACAAATTATTTTGAAAAGACAGGGCCAAATAATATATATACCCCTCCTCTGCATTCCCAGAGAATTTATATATACTTCCTATTTATCTGGAACACTGCTCAATCGACAATAGATATTCAGCTATTAGTATCATGGATTAGTGAATATTGGCTACATCAATGAAACAAATCCCATTCATTTGGACTATGATTTTTCAATTTGTAATGATCTGCAGTACAAATTATCAATACATTTTAATTAGCAAAACTAAAGATATGTATGTAATCCATCAATTTTCAAGTACTTTTAAGTACCTAATTTCCTAAAGCTATATGGCAACTACAAATCATTTTTAGTTTGTGATTAAAACAAATCCCCTAAGAGCCGAATATTAAGCAAGAATTGTCACTCCACTTTGAATTATGCTTATTCTTTAAAGTAATCAAAATGTATTCTTTATAAAGATAAAAAATGCATATATTCCACTAACTCGGACTGATCTATTTTTTGAGTACATTTTTATATGGTCCTCAATTTTTTAAAAATTTTGATGAATTCTCTCTTACCCCAAAATTTATTTGAAAGTCTTGCTAAATTCACAGCCCTTAATACTTTAAAAGCTCCACAAATGTATTTTTAAAATTTTGAAAATGTTTTAAAGAAATAAAGAGCCCTGGCCAGGTGGCTAAGTTGGTTGGAGCATCATCCTGTACACCAAAAGGTTGCAGGTTCAATTCCTGTTTGTGGCACATATGGGAAGCAACTGATGTTTCACTCTCACATCGTTGTTTCACTCTCTCTGTCTCAAATCAATGAACATATCCTCAGGTGAGGATATTAAAAAGAAAGAAAGAATTCTAATAAACAAAGAAAATGAAAAATTACTGATAGAAGAATCTAAGATACAATTACGTTCATCTAAATATCTCCATATTCTTATCTAAATACCCTGTCAGGAATGGTAGATAAAGAAGAGTATTTGACTCTTGATTGGAAAAGACCCAGGTTTCCATCTTTAAAAAAAAAAAATCTATTCTACCATTCTGAGGTTAATAGTCTAATATATAAAATAAGGAGAGCCTGGCTAGTGTGCTCCGTAGTTGAGCCTCGACCCATGAATCAAGAGGTCACAGGTTTGATTCCTGATTTACGGCACATGCCTGGGTTGCAGGCTCGAGCCCCAGTAGGGAAGGTGCAGAAGGCAGCAAATTGGTGTTTCTCTTTCATCGAAGTTTCTATTTCTCTATTCTTCTCCCTTCCTCTCTCTCTTTCTTAAAAAAATAAAATAAATCAATAAAACATTTAAAAAATAAAATGAGGAGAATAACTACTACTCCACAGGGTTGTTGTAAGGACATAAAAATATATATGGCAGTACTTTGAAATTACGAAGCCTATTATATAACTGACTGCTATTTCTATTACTGTCATATTCTCTTTCAAAAATTCCCAACCCTAAAGCCACCTCAATGGAATATCACATGGCTACATCTATCTTAAGGGCCCAGATTAAGTGCTTAAAATCATAAGATAAGATGTAGGGTAAATATCTTTGATATCTCAGAAATTTTATGAATACTAAAAAACTATAAAATATCCTTTTTTATTTAGTCTTAAGTACATATTGATTAAATATGTGCAAGTGAAAGACTGACTCATTAGTATTTCCAAGAAGTCATGATCTCCTTCAATACTAGAAAAGTAATGAATTAGTTTCTATATTAATTAAAAGGAGGAAATTAAATAAACATAGGTATAGTACAACATATCTGGAAAGAGCTTTTTGAGTCTATGCAATGTTACCAAACTAGCAAAGTCTTGGGATGTACCAACATTGGAATGATAAGCAGGACAAGACCTTTTTTTCCATTTTAATATAGTAGGCATAGGGTTACATGCTGCATTTTATAAAAACTGTGGGTGAACACAACTAGAATCCGAAAGAGCAAATGAAATTGTTAATGAGGAGAGTCAGGTAACCAGTTCCATTCAAGATCTACTCTGAAGACGACTGTAATCAGTGCCTAAAAGAAATTTTGAATAAAAGATATTTGACCTTATAATTCAAAGGGAAAAAGGGATAAAATGTATGAAATCTACTTTGAATTACTTAAGTAATCAAAGTAAATTACTATTCCATAGTACACAATCTTTCCTACATTCACAACCTCTGTAATTTGATGTTCCTCAATATTTCTCTACTCAACTGAAATCTGGATCTCCCCTGAAAGCTTAGGGTAGGAACTGCCCTGTCTCAAAACCCACATGGAGGTGAATTTTGCATCTTTTTCACTCTGCAAGCTGCTTCTGGAACATCACTCTTTTCCACTCTCATGTAAAGTCCTGCATCATCTTGTGGGAATTCACGTCTACAGTAAGGACACATAAAGTACCATGGCCTCTTAATTCATCACCTCTAGTCAAGCCACCACCACATGGCCACATCCTGTTTTGTAACAATGTTACTAAAGAAACCTTAAATTCCAACAACTGTCTCTGATCCCAATCTATTCTTCTCTGTCTCTCACACAGGTATTCTAGTGTTCTCAGTTCTCTGACCTTATTAGGAAATCCAATACCTCGTTCTCTCCGTATTTTCCCAATCTGTCTGCTCTCTCCCACCTGGCAGAATAGTTTAGTGGTAACGTATGCTCCCAAAACTTAGACTTTCTGGGTAAAGTCTTGGCTTCTCTACTTATAGCTGTGACCTTGGGCAACTTACTTTACCCTTTCTACTTCAGTTTCCACATTTATTCATTCAATACCTATTTCCTGAGTACCTTCTCAGTGCCAGTTCTAGGTGGTAGGAATCTGGCAGTGAACAAGAAAAAAAATCCCTGGAGTCTTCATTCTAATAAGGGAAAAAGTAGTATCATCTTCATGGGGTTATTAAAAACTTTAAACGAAATGTAAAACATAAAGGTGTTTAGACCAGTGCATAATACTGTAGCAAGTACTCAAACATCAGCTATTACTACATTTCACTTTTTTCCTTATCCAATTTAGATTCTCTGATGTTCTTTTCAGTAGTTTCTCATTGGACAAGCCTCAACCCTCAGGGAAACAGAACAGACTTGGGCTAGACAAAGATCTCTCCTCCCCAGCCACTGTGTGCCTTAAAATCATTATTGTATTCTATGTGCGTTATGTCCTGAAAAGGGCTCTAAAGCACTGCTATTACCAGTCTTCACAACTCCTTTGCCCTACTGTTCTTCTACTGTATATCCATGGTGAAATACCATTTAACCCAACTATTTGGTGTGTGTGCCCACACTTGAGTATTGCAAAGGAAATGTCACAAAGATTTGTACAACTATACATTTGAGGTCATTAACGTCAAATGATCCATCATTGATTGCCATAAGCGTCTTTTATTTTTCTAGCTCCATCTCCCATTTTCAGTACTTCAAACCTATTTCTTTCCTCTCAAACTTTTGACTCCTTCTGTTTAGATGCCTCTACTTCTGAGATGCTAACCTTAAGCCCCAAAGCCTATCTTTTAGTTTGCTCCTTTTAAAATTTCCCACATCCCATTTACTCATAGTATATATCACATTATGTTATTATCCATATGCCTATCTCTATCTCCACTAAACTATAACCCTAAAAGGACAGGAGTCATGTCATCTTTGAAACAGATTGTAAAACTTCCTTCCTAGATTTTTAGGTGTTTCCCTCCCAAATGGTAGAAAGGGGTCCACTTACTATCTAAAATACATGTAATACTTGAAGATCAAAATATTAACTGTGATGTTCTTGAAAGG